AAGACTGGGTTTCGCTACGGATTTCCTAACCCAGTCTTCGTCCGCGGATCAATGGGACTTGGCATATTGAAGAGAGGCGCGGCTATTCGATGGAATGACGCGCGCGGGCCGATTGCCGCCCGTCAAGCGACGCCTGTGCAGGCGGGGCGGGGCCCTCAGTCGCCGCTGGCCCGGCCTTGGCCGCTCCCAGAGGGCACGATGGATGACTGGCTTTTCCCAAGCTTCGGAGACGACAAGTTCAGCGCAACTGTCCTGGCGCACGTCGAGGATATGTTGGGCGCCTCCACGGGCTATTGCGCGCGCGCAGTGGAGGGCGGCATCCCGGCATGTGGCCAACGAGGACCTCGAAAGAGTCGCCGACCTCACCGCGGCGCGCAGCGAGCTGAATCGGTTAGCGAAGAACGGGAGGGTGGAGGACTGGACGGCCGACGCCGTCATTTCGAAAGGCCAGCGGACTCGTGAAAGGCATATAGCCGCAAACTTTGCCTGCCCGCCGCTGCGCCCCCGACGCAAGGGGCACCCTGAGACCCTTGCGTATAGAATTTGGACACTGCACGCCAACTGCGGGCAAGGACATGTCCGGAAATCTGACGTTTTGTTTCCCCGGGCGCTTGCGAGTCTGGGGGCCCAACCTACTCTCTGGCTCCGCGGAGTGCCTCCGAAGGCCCTCGCGGTGCCCAAATTCGTTGAAAGGTTTGCCAGCGGGCCCTTCTGGGAGATGGGGTTGTCCAGGGTCGCTGTAGCACTCCTGGGGGCAGCCCTTTGCATATGTTTGGAGATGGCTCTGGAGGGGCACGTAGTGCTGACCCGAGGCGTCGGCGTTGTGGCTCGGCGATTGCCGTGTTGCGTAAGGGCCCCTCATCGGCCGTGGCTTGGGCCCCCGTGTGCGGAGTTGTCCAGATCCTGGTGGGTAGGGGACAGGCGGTCCCTCGGGCCGAGCTTCAGGAATTTCGCCTTGCGTGGGAGAATTAAGTTGGCCCGATCTGCTATGTGACCGATTGTAGGAGTCTGGTCTGCGATTGGCACGCTGGGCGCGCAACTTCTCCCAGAGGCCAGAACGGAACCTGTTGGTGCGAGTGTCGCGTGCCATGCACCGTCAGGGCCCTGGGGGCACATCCTTTCCGTGGACCCCCCCAACAGAGTGGAGGATCTACAGCTGGCCACTCACACCTTTGATGCTGTCCTTTTGCCTCGAGAGTGCCTGCGCCCACATCTGGACGGGGACTGCGGCCCGAGTGTGTGGTGGCCCCTGGGCTTCGCGCCGACCC